AAAGGGTTTGGGATTAGACTCAATCCCTACGAGTGCTCTGAAAATGAATTATTGGATTCAATCGACAGACTATTAAACGATCAAATATTGGCACAAAAGTTGCAAAAAGTTTCGCAAAGAATTCAAAGTGAAAGGAATATCGAAAAAATCGTTAAAATTGTCGATAAATTAGTTAAAAATAAATAGTTTATATTAATTAAAACAGGATTTAATTGTTTTTTGTTTTAATTAAATTTATTATTTACTTAAACTATAGGAATACTTTAACAATTATTGTATTACTAAAAATACATGTTATACATTATTGAAATGTAGTGAAATAATGGGTGACAAGTGTGTTGACAATAAGTCATTATTTGTATGAAAATTGAATTTGAATATAAAAGCAAACTTTAAATGTACAAAATATAACAGTTTCATTTATTTATCAGTAGAAATAATTGATGAAAATGTGATCATTTTGCTTTTAGTCTCATTTCTTATTGTCATTTTACTTTTTTACGTGTGTTTTGTTACAAACAATAATTAACAAGTAATTCAGTAATTTTTTTTTCGTATTTCAATACAGTATTTGTTTGGTTAATATGGTGTAGTTTATCAAGTATTTAATAATTGAGTTATTGATCACAGTTTATCATGAGTTATTAAGACATTATTTATTTTGTTTGCCTCCCTATGTCTAGTGATGGAAAACAAGGCAACACTTTCTAAACTTTTAGTTAACTTTTTAAAAAGTTTAATAGAAATGCAATAAAATTAATATTTTAACATTTTAAGATATTATTTTGAAAATATTGTTATATTACTATAGTATTAACTAGTATATTAGTATACAGGTGTATATTATAATAGTGTACTAATGTTAATATTGTGATTCATAATTTAATAATGTGTATTTATTAAACAAAATAACGACAATGATTTCTATGAGCAATTCTAGATTCTCATAGTAAACCAATACAACCACGTTTTATTAAAATCTTAATCTTATATTACTCATATTTATAATTGTCGCTGTTTTATATAATAAGTCCACATTTTATTTAATAGCATAGACTTAATTCCATAGAGTGTAAACATTAAATGTAATTAATAAATCTAATGAATACAGTACATAGTTGAGTTGATATTGTGATAATATAATTAATTTAAGTGCATTAAAAGTGCATTAAAAGTGCATAAAAAAGTGCGTGTATAACATTGGATACATTATTAATAGGTCTGTCCACCATTTTCAGGGCTCAGGGGGACATGTAGTCTAAATTGAGATAAATTTGTCGGACATAATTGAAAATTTAAAAATATGTTTAATTATTAAATGTCTATAAACTCTACCACCTCCTGACCACATCATAATTTAAACTGGATCACAATTCCCGTTCAGAGCACTACTTATGTACTCAAAAACGATTACAAGTAAAAAAGTTATAATACATGTGCTGTCTAGTAAATCTTATTAGTAGTATCCTTATCTTATAGTAAAATGATACCCTGTCTACATTTATGTGAGTATGTAATAAGTAATATAATTGACAATTCTTATATATATATATATATAAATAAATGTTTATTTTATTCTAATGTATATACTTTATATACAGCATATATTAATATAAAGTAATATAATTTATAAATAATAATTTTTAAATGAAGATTATTTAATACAAACAATTATTAGGTATGTTTGCATTACCCAGGACAACTTGTTTGAACTACCCCTTAAAAACCACGTGACTTACGCTTAAGATAAGATTGCGAAAGGTCGGTTTACATGGATAGATATGTTCACATTTAAGTGCAAATATATGTCACAAATATTAAGTGCATTTATAACTTATAAATAATTAAGTAATTCATGTAAAAGGCATTCAAACTTTTCAAATTCAATACAAACATAAAATATATTACAACTACAATACTCTACAGTATCCACAAAAATCAGTAAATAATGTCTAACAAAACGCTAACCGTGCTGTTTGTGCCTGCTCAGTTTGTTGGCCCTATGAATGCTAGTATAGGTATGGCTGAGGTATTGCGAGACACCGGTCGATACCACTGTGTGTTTGCGGTGACCAACGATTGGAAGTCACGGCTCGAGTCCATTGGGTTTGAGGTGAAACTCATGGGACAGCCTGTGGCCGGGGATGTAGTGGCGACTGATTCAGCCGATAGTAACGTGGCTGTGGCCGAGAAATTGGGGGTTTTGGGAAACCACACCCCATTGGAAATGGCTATCGATTGCAACGACTACATTGTCAAAAGTGGTATCAAACAAAATATAGAAACGGATCCATTGGTTAAGACTATTATAAAGGATTTGAAGCCTAATGTCATAATTACTGATAAGACTATACAATTACCATCTATTGTCACATCAGGCATACCCTGGATATTCAGTTATAGTGGAAGTCCCTTGTCATTAAACTATGGATACTCGGATGACATACTTCCACCACCATACTTAGGTATCTATAGTTATTTATAATATTGTAATATATAATAATAATAATATTAAATATTCTGTTGTTTATAAGGTTTGCCGACAAATAGTGAGACAGAAGTGAAGGAGAAATCAACTGTGGGAAAGAAGTCGTGAAAAGTGGTATAAATATAGGGATCAATTGGTTTCCATGGGATGTCCCAAACTACAAGAATTCTTAATGTGGACCCCTTCCCCATACGCTAACTTTTATATGACACCTAAGGAATTGGATTATACGGACATCAGACCACTTCCCGACACTTTCCATGGATTTGATAATTTTAAACGAACCGGAAATGAAGACACGTTTGATATTCCGGAAAACCTTAAGAATAGGTCCGGAAAACTGATTTATTTATCATTGGGTTCAATGGGTTCTGGAAATGTAGAGCTTATGAAGAGATTGGTTGCGATTTTGTCCAAATCTAAGCACCGGTTCATTGTCTCCAAAGGTGTCAATCATAATGAATACGAATTGGCGGACAATATGTGGGGCGAGAGGTTAGGTAAAAGTGCTGCCAATCGTAGACCTAATGATAACACACGGCGGCAACAATACTGTGACGGAAACCATGTATTTCGGGAAACCAATGATAGTCTTACCACTCTTTGGGGATCAATTGGATAACGCACAGAGAGTTATGGAAAAGGGGTTTGGGATTAGACTCAATCCCTACGAGTGCTCTGAAAATGAATTATTAAATTCAATAGAAAAGTTATTAAACGACAAAATATTGGCACAAAATTTGACAAAAGTGTCGCAAAGAATTCAAAGCGAAAAGAATATCGAAAAACTGGTCAAAATTGTCGACAATTTAATAACTGATTAAAATGTAATAATTGTCTTATTTTTGACTTAAATACAACTAGAATTTTAAGTTTGATAATAGTTTACGATATTATAATATAATTAAATGTTTTATAGTATAAGTTCCTTAAATTAAGTAAATAATTTGTAACTCATTATTTTGCCAATATATTACAATGTCTACAATTAAGTTATAATAAAAATTAAATTAATTAGATTCTAATATTGTATATTATACAATATCAGAAAAGCACATTATTATATGATACCGGTAATATAAGTTAAAATTGTTCTTAGATCATATATAATAAATAAATTAGAAACTTATATTATTAATTGTATTATAACTTTGTTTATTTTGCACCAAACATTTATTTATACATGTACACTGTCATGAATATGAAATTACAGAATTGTAAATTTTTTGTGAAATTTTATATGTACTTGGACAAATAAAGTCTTTAAAACTTTAACCAATATAAAATGATGCATATCAAATACAATTATTAAAGAAAGTACATTTATTAATATGGAATTTGGATTAAAACTACATTTAGTGTCCATATAACAATATGACATAATTTTGTAATTAAGTTTAATGTTCATAACAGATTATACGATATTAATAAATAACAGGTTAACATTTTTATCGATATTAAAAGTTATTTCATACTTTAATACCAACTACCAAATTACTGATTTATTTTATGTGCTTCTAATGAAATAAATAAATATAGTGAAAATTTCAGTAAAATATAGTATACAACATTTGATAAGTTACAGTAACATATCATGTACTGTATAATGTAATGTACAGTATAATATAAATACAAGATAATGATATATTTGACAATTTGACAATACCCACATTTTGGGTGCATTACTTAACTCTAGTTTATTATGATAATTGTTATCGCTTTTAATGTGTGTCCATAATATAACTATGAGTGCAAACAAAAACTATAAAAAGGGTTGCATTCAATGTGAACCATAAAACTTGTTTCAAACTACGTAACTACAAATTAAAATAACTTACGTTTCAACTTAAGTTTTAAATAATGTCAAATAAAAAACTAACCGTGCTATTTGCCCCTGCTCAGTATGTGGGCCCTGTGAACGCCAGTATAGGTATGGCTGAGGTATTGCGAGATACCGGTCGATATCACTGTGTGTTTGCGGTGACCAACGATTGGAAGTCACGGCTCGAGTCCATTGGGTTTGAGGTGAAACTCATGGGGCAGCCGGTGGCTGGGGATGTAGTGGCGACTGATTCAGCCGATAGTATTGTGGCTGTGGCCGAGGAATATAACGTTTTTGAAAACACCACTCCATTGGAAATGACTATTCGTGTCAACGATTTCTTTGTCAACTTTGGTCTCCAAGAGATCACAGAAACGGATCCATTGATTAAGGCTATTATACGGGATCTGAAACCTGATGTCATAATAAGTGACCAGGCTGTTCAAATACCTAGTATTGTTACATCAGGCATACCCTGGATATTTAGTTGGAGTAGTAACCCACTATCATTAAACTACGGTTTCCCGGATAACATACTCCCACCAGCATTCTTAGGTATGCATACATTACATATAATTTAAAATATCAGTAAAGTATTCAAAATAATATTATTATTATTCTATTGTTTGTAAGGATTGCCGACAAATAGTGAGACAGAAGTGAAGGAGAAATACAGACAACAACTGTGGGAAAGAAGTCGTGAAAAGTGGTATAAATATAGGGATCAATTGGTTTCAATGGGATGTCCCAAACTTCAAGAGTTCCTAATCTGGACCCCTTCCCCATACGCTAACATTTATATGACTCCTAAGGAATTGGATTATACGGACGTCAGACCACTTCCCGACAATTTCTATGCATTTGATTGTTTCAAACGCAGTGGAAATGAAGATAACTTTGAAATACCGGAAACTCTTAAGAATAGGTCCGGAAAATTGATTTACTTGTCGTTGGGTTCAATGGGTTCCGGAAATGTAGAGCTCATGAAGAGATTGGTTGCGATTTTGTCCAAATCTAAGCACCGGTTCATTGTCTCCAAAGGTGTCAATCATAATGAA